AGGAACGAGCCCCCTCCGTCACGCACCTGACGAAGCGGCTGGCGGCGGACTGCACTGCGCCGGCGACACCGAGCTGCGGGCGTCGGTGGCGGTGGCGAAGGGGCGTCCCCGCGGCGGAGGCGGCGCGGTCGAGTCGCGCCCGGCGCCGCCGCCAAGAGGCAGATCACGCCCCCGTCCGGGTCCTCCACGCACCGGTACAGGTGCACCTCGGGAGAGCAAAACCGACAGATGACGCCCCCGTCAGGGTCCTTCACGCACCGGTACAGGTGCACCTCGGGAGAGCAAAAGCGACAGATGACGCCCCCGTCAGGGTCCTTCACGCACCGGTACAGGTGCACCTCGGGAGAGCAAAACCGACAGATGACGCCCCCGTCCGGGTCCTCCACGCACCGGTACAGGTGCACCTCGGGAGAGCAAAAGAGACAGATCACGCCCCCGTCCGGGTCCTCCACGCACCGGTAGAGGTGCACTTCAGGAGGGGAGGCACAAATGCACTCGCACAGACGAACACGGCAAAAATGAGAGTGAAACTCTGCCGACTTTCGCTACACACAAAGAGACTGATGTTGAGACCAAAGCTTTCGAACGCCAACACCCCAATAATTCTGAGTTGACAAAGATGACATTAATTATTTCACCCATGTACTACTTTGTTTCGCAATCCCTTTAGTTTGTGATAGCTGATCAGTTTTGGCATAACCGTTTCCTAACTCTTATCCATCGACACAAATAATATTTTTTCATATTTTGTAAAAGAGTAAAACCTAGGCCTTTGCATTTATCATTAGGAAAATTTACATCTGATGAAGAAAATGTCTACCCTCACAAATGTAATAATGTATAAAAGCCATGATATAAATACTAACAAAGTGAGAAATGTACCACAAAATTATATTAGTTTAATTATTGAATAATCATAAGATTACAGCAAAATTACAATTGTTTAATAATATTCAGTGCGTTTACCACTGCCATTTAATTTTTTTTAAATTGGAGCTGTAGTTTTCAGCCAAATGTTATATTTAAAAATGCCTATATTTTATTCAAAAGTGTGCATAAATGGCTGATATTTTCACAAATAGTATACGAAATGAAATAAAGAACTAATAGTAGAGAACAAATTTTATTTGACAAAGAAATGTGTATCATCAATAATGTTGTTGTATGAGGGCGTGCACAGAAACTGAAAACGTTGCAACTTTCAAAAATGCTAGGGAATCAGTAAAAGTAGGATGTGTTTACTTTTATCGGTATATTTCACCCTATTATTCACAAGGAATTTAAAAAAGAAAACAACACTTTTTGAAAATGTCCCACGGGCTTGATGTGAAGTACCCCCAAAGTTCAAGGAATTCATTTAAAATTTCTGGGGCTTCGAATCGAGACAAATCGATTGAAGAATGTTCAATGTGGCAAAATTTCTACGAATATAAAAATACAGAGGGACAGAGAGACGAACATTAAAAATAAACCTTTTTTGATATTAGGGAACCTCGTAACGAGTATTTGTAGTAAAATCTCGCAATAGATATTTCGCAGCGTTAGATATCTTTCTCTTATAGTACGTATTCATATAGTAATACACGTCCGTAAACGTACCAGAAACGTGTTACCTATTTTCTGCTAAAAATTCGAGCCGTCAAAAGGAGCGTTTTTCAAGTTTGTAGGTGGCCTACCAGCTGTAATCTGGCGGGGGTAGGTAGAAAGTATTTTCCACTTCAGAATATTGTTTCAGACTTTTTTCTGCGATGTGTATTTCTCGATACACGAATTTTGGTGTCTTATTTTGATGTCTAAGTTTAAATGGACTTCCTATAATATTAGAGTGGTGCTTTCAGGACCTGATTGGTTTAAATAGAAGGGAGATACTCTGTCTATAATAGATCATATCCGTCACTAACTAATCCACCGGTTCGAGTTCGTGCTCGCTGATGTCATAAGGGTGCAGTCGTTGGCACTGAAATCCATCTCAAAGACTTTGTCTTCCTAGAAAGCTTTAAAAAAAAGAGTTAATTTAGGAATAAACATTGGTGGTTAGGAGGAATGCCAGTAGTACATAATAGGAGGATAATGGACCTCAATTTTATTTCTGGTATTTTACCTCCATTTTTACCCCCATTTTTAACTCCATTTTCTCCAAAAATTTCACTATTTCACAAACGTTTTAAACAATATCATCACATTTTCACGAATATATTCACATTTTTATCAATTGTTTCATGCCTTGATTGACAGAAAACGCTGATCAAATGATGGCATATCTTCGAAACGTCTTCATTTCATAATTATGGTATACTAGCGTACCCGTGCGAGAACACTCGCATGTTAAATTCCACCATCTTTCCTACTTTTCCTTTACCATATCAAGGGGAGAAGTTGTTAACGAAACATGTTTATTTGTTTTAAAAAAGGTAACTTCCAACGTATTTATAGAATTTAAAATAAAAGTAAATAACATTAAAATTGATGTTTGAAAAATATTTTGAATAAAGGTTAATTCAGTATTATAGACATGTTTTTGGAACAATTCCAGCACAACACAGTAGCTGTACACATTTTCCGTATGCTGAAAATGGGCTCGGCTGACAAATGTGGCACCACTAGCCACCAAAGGGGGAGCAAGCTGTCACGTCCATCGCATTATTAGAACATACTAGCTTTTAAAAGCTAGAGCGGGAATTAACGTCGTAATTCAATTGCATTGAAAACCTAATCCTTATATTTTTCAACTTGATCATTTACATTGAATTCATAGAAGCATAAATATATCAAAATGGGCAAAGAACTTTTAATATTGTATGGAATTTCTCCCAATGTCGCCACGGCGAGATTTGACACTTCACATTTCCGTTTCGTGGTTTTAAATTCACAATAATTAGGAAATTATATGAATGTTTGAGTTTTCTGCAAATGGTAACACTTACTGTTATGTACAAATTAACAAGAAATATGGGATTACATGTGAAAAAATCGTATGAGACAGCCACAAATATAAACTATTTGCACCTCATTAGACTTGAGTTATATGTATTCAATACAAGTTTTTTTTCTTTTAAAGGCATCGTCGGTAACAAACCACACTGTATTAACTACAGTTGATTGCATCACACTGTATAAAATAACAGTTGATTGCATGAGTGAAGAATTTGCCTGTTTATCTATTACTACCACGAGAAATGACCTTCTTTGTAATCGTGTATACGCCTACAGGATGTACAAATATATATATTTGTATTCATAGTAGCCTATTTATAGGCCCAAAATTTAAACTAGAAATGGGATAATTTCTAAGTATCGTGTATAATAATAATCAAATACTCCAAATTTCTAATGCTTTAATTTAGGTACCACATCTTCACATCAACCAACCTATCTCTCAATTGTTCGCACCCTAATTTACTCTTAATTAAGTATTTTCACTTTTTCCTTGGAATGATATTATTGTACTTCAAAATATGCTGACAACCTCTTAGTGTCCCCCCCAAAAGTTCGCTATGCGCGGGACTATGCCAACTCATTAATGTTGTGTTTTCTCAAGACTGCAATTTTTTTCAGTTTTCCCTTACAATTAAAACACATCTTTATAGAAATATGCTAATCACACAAATATAGGACAATAAATTTTGTACGATTTATGCCTCATAATTATTCTCCGTCAGACGAACGGTAAAGGCGCTAGAGTACGTTAAATTGAGGGGCGAAAAAAACTGCCTAAAATTTTTTTCTCCACAAATATGAACTTTTAGAGATACGTTTTATTAGACGAACGTTTTCTAGCGCGCAAATCGTTCGTCTGACGAAGAAAGTCCGTTAGGTGAAACATTTTCTCTAAAAATGTGTGTATTTTAAGAAATATGCGATAATAAATTACTCTGACCAGAGCAGTTGCGATCTTTTAAAAAAAGTAAACAAAAAACCTTTTTGGGATAGTGATTTCTTTTCTATAATTTAACGTGTTCTTGCTCCTCTCACGAAAAATACGACGTAACTAATACGTAATTAAATAAATGTTATATATTTATATACAGGAATCTATTTCTATGAATGTGCGTAGTTTTCATGTTCAACGTGAAATCGTTTGAAGTGAAAATATTACAAATCCACCATAACTACTCAGTACAAAATGAAAGGAAAGTCCTGTTGTTTCAACGTATGCAAAACTACAGCAATTGTCTTTGAAAGGGCCCTATGTTTGCAAAATATCCTATAAGAAATCTGAACAATAGAACAAAGGATCCTGTAAACTTAAATCCATGCCACCTGCACGTAACGCAAACTACTTGAATGTGCCTGCTTTCGTAGAACACCAAACTTACAGCAGCGTGCTGGCCGCTTGAAGGCGCTAGTGGCGCGCCAGGCACAAAACTTCGCTTGAAGTTATGGGACTGTCAATACACTGCGTGTTTACGAGTAAGTGCAGTTGAATTTTTGCTGTTTGCAAAGAAGCTGTGGACCGTTTGCGTCGTAGAGGTATGTAGTAATATGTACCTTTTATTAAAGTGATCGCGTATACTTGTGCGTGGCTTACGGGGGACGAGCTGAGACGCGTAAATAATGAAACCGTGTGCGTTGCATAGTATCCTTGAGGCGCCATCTTGTTTGATGTGTCACTTCACGCTTCACAATCCTGCCACCTAGCGGCGTGGGTGCACAGAATTGTGAGGATCGCGCGACACCTAGCGTAGTGGATGCCAACCACGGCGACTGTTACCCTCTCTAGCGGACGAGAGTGTCGTGCGCTAGGTCTCCAGAGCGGCAAATTCAAATGTTGAATTGCGTAATAATCGGACAGATCATTTCCCTTAATTGAAGGCATTTCCGTTCGTTTCAGAAAAGAAGAGTATTTAGATTCTCTACTGCGAATTTGTAAAGAAATGGAAGTGACGATCTTAAAGAATATTTGTGTGAAAATCAGTGGTATTTAGACATTAGAAGACTCTCTCAGGGATATCCTGGGACAGAGAAGACAACGGTCCGCTTTTACGGAGAAAGAAAATTCTGATCAGGAGCCAGGTCTCTATCTCGGTAAATGATTGATACTACGAAATATCAACAGCCCAGGAAACTGCAGACTGAAACTTCTTAGACTGACAACTTAGAAATGGTAGAATTATAAATTAGAATTAATGCGAGGAATTATGTGCTGCTGTATTACCATTAGATTTTAAATTCAGTGACAGTTTTATTACAATTGAATATTTTTAACAAAGATGATATCTTGGAAGAAGATAATTAAAACAAATCAGTAATTGCTCTGTTCGGAGAAAGAATGACTGCTTAACACTGTTACCTATACTGCTACCCTATGTATTTTGGGCTTTTTTATAGCAATACTACCTCGGTGTTGTAAAAATTTCATAGTTTCATCCAAATTAAAAGTTTGATCTTCAAATAAAAACGCCATTTTCCTAAAAACGGCTCTACATTTTTCAATAAAAATTGGCTATTTAGAAAGAGGTTTTACTCTTCTTTAATATTCTTGAAATAATATTTCGTTTCTACTATTAAGAAACCGAAAATTTCAAAAAAGTTTACTTTGGGCGGCGATAGATGGCCGCTGGCAAGACGATGGGACCATAAAGCTAGGGAAATTAGAAATCTTAGCAACGAAAAAGTCTGTGCTATTCTGTAGCATCACTATATTTATTTTTCACATCAAATGTTCTACGATTTCAAATGAGTTTTGCAAAAAAATAATTCGGAGAGAAATTGTGGCATAAATAGTATTACACACCAATTACTAATGGCGCGAAAGTACGTGTTTTTGCACTACTAGCTTCTTTAAACTTTTGGTAGGGTAAGTGCCAAATTTACTCTATAAGGTGACACATACCAAATTACTCTATCCCTTTTTTTGTTGTATTTCAAAAATTCCAAAAATTATTTTTTGACTTCCCTTTCGCGTCGTTAATATTTACATTAGCGTCAATTTGTTCTCATTATTGCATTTACGAATACATGTGCTTCAAGTGATGCCTGATGAAGTGTTATAGAAAACGCAAACGTTTTCTTTGAACATGAGCTCAAAATTCCGCATTTTCAGAAACTCACAAACGCCATTTACTCAAAATGGCATCAACTTTTTTCTTCAACCTTTTCGAATGGATAGTGCTAATTCTATTGTTTAAGATGACCTTAAGTTAATTTCGGGATTTTTTGTAGTTGTTTTTTTTTTCAAAAATGAAACAAATGTATTATTTTAAATATGTCTCACGTCTTTAATATACTAATTTCCAGCAACTTGTAAATATTATTGCATTTGTGAGTGAAAGTGCTTTACATGACTTCCAAATAAGTTTTCAAAAACTCGAAAGAGCTTCAAATTTTGCATTTACTGTCACGCTTAATAGCCATTTTCATAAAAAGTTTTCATGAACATTTTTAATGAATATTGATATTTAGGACGAGGTTTTATTCTTCTTTAATATTTTTAAAGTAATATTTCGGCTCTACAATTAGGAAACAGAAGAATTGAGAATATGTACTTTATGCGGCAGTAGATGGCAGCTACAGTGAGTATGTGGCAAATCCGAATAGTTAGCCCAAACCAAAAAAATAGAAAAATAATACAAGAAATTCTGTGTATTTCTGTAGCACCACTTTTTTCACGTAGTTATTATTCACATTGGAGGCGATTATATTGCACATATGAGTACATTTATTAGACATTTATGAGTGCCACGTTTTTCAAACGATGTCTTGTAAAGTTTCTCGAAAACTCGTACGTTTTCTGTAAAAATGAGCTCAAATTTCCGCGTTTTCAGAAAAGCTCAAACGCCATTTTCTTAAAAACGACTCCAAAAGTTTTCTTCAATTTTTTTATGGTTTGTGCTAAATGCTCTGTTATTATTCTTTTACTGTTTACCTTCTTTTCCAATGTTCAATTAGGCGTGTGGGATACCAACATTTCGCTTTTGTTAAGACTGAAAATGACACAAAATGCCGTAAACAATCAGCTCTCTGAGATTCAAAGTGGTCGACAGATTCGCCTACTTCTCATTCACGCAATAGTAAATAACTTCGTCATTAAATTTACTGAATGAACTTCGACATTTGAATTTGTCACGACGTCCTTTAAAAAAAATTGCTTCCTTCGTATTCATGTTTTCGAGTGATAGCACGTGTTTTGATTCCGGCTTCATTTCCTGAATTTCAGAAGGCTAAAGAGAGAGATGGCGAGTCGCAGAGGAGCTCGTGAGAACGGCACGCGAGATGGCGCGAACGCCGTCGGCGCCGCCTTCCAGCTGGTGGCGCAGGGGCTGGCGCAGCTGCAGGAGGCCCTGTGCCTGCAGAAACAAGAGGACGCGCGCCAGGCCCAGGAGGCCCTGCGCCTGCAGGAGGAGGCGGAGCGCAGGACGAAGGAAGCCCTGAACCTGCAGGAGCGGAGGGCGGCGACGGCGCTGCGAGAGGTGGAGCGGAAGCTGCAGGAGAAGGACGACGCCATTCGCGCGCTGCAGGAGCGACTGGAAGAGACCCAGGAGAGAGTGACGGCCGCGGAGGAGAGAAGGACGGAAGTCCTGAGGCTGCAGGAGGAGAGGGCGGCGACGGCGTTGCGAGAGGTGGAGCGGAAGCTGCAGGAGAAGGACGACGCCATCCGCGCGCTGCAGGAGCGACTCCAAGAGACCCAGGAGAGAATCGCTGCCGTGGAAGGGAGAACGGCGGTTTCGGAGGGATCTGCAGGGGAAGGCGGTTTGCAGCGTCTGCAAGGTCGCGTGGAGGCGGTCGAGGCCTCTCTGCAGAGAGCGATTCAAACGTTCTTGCCCCGCGTTGATGTTCTGTTGAGCCAACTGGAGCAGCCCCGAACGACATGTGCGACCCTTGCCACCGCCGTCTCCTCCTCCAGCGCGTGCGAAGGACCGGTGGCGGGAGGGGCAGCCGCGGGTGGAGGAAAGGGGTCCCCGCCTTCAGAGCGTTTCCCCGCCCCCACCCCTACTTCAAGCGCCGGCCGCCAGGGCGAGGAAAGTCACGAGAGGCAGCAGCTGATATCCCGAGTGAAGGCGGCGATGTTGAGGATCGAGAAGGCACGAACCTCCCCCACCCCGCTAGGAGAGAAGTTGTGTGAGGCGGTAGAAGACGGAAGACTCAGTGCCGTGCGACGTCTCATAGACTCCGGTGCTGACGTCGATTACTTTGACGGTAATGGTTCCAATCCTCTACTTCGTGCGGTTTGTTTGGGCGACGTGGACGCGGTGTCACTTCTTCTACAACGAGGT